CTCTCTCTCTCTCTCTCTCTCTCTCACACACACACCAGGAAAAAAAGCTCTTTATGCAGGAGCCCCGCCACCCCTTCAAGACACACACCCAATGAGAAACTCCGTCTTTGTGAGGAGAGAGAGAGACATATATGAGAGAGACACAGACTGAGAGATAATCTCGCATAAGTGGCTCAACACCTGTACAGAGGCTATTAACACATCACAGCCTGTAATTATTCTCACACATTTAACCAGCTGTTATTAACCTCAACACACACACAGTCTCTCATGACATACAATTATTCTGCATTTCACTCACTTTCTCTTGCTGCAGTTTTTTTTTTTTGTCTCAATATGTAATTATTTACGACAAAAGTGGTTTAAGTTTACAGTGGGCAATGAGTTAAACGTGCATTTTGACACTATATATATACAGTGTCATTATGTCATAGCCAATGTATTTAAATAAATAATCTAAGAATATTTAAGAATAAGTGTAATGCAATTTTATGCATGTGCATTATTTATACAGTATATAGAGTATGAAATTTATACATAGTTTCAGTATTTATATGCATTATTTATACTATATTTTTATATTCTTCATATTTTGATGCATATGCATTGATTATACAGTACATAAAATATGAAATTTATATTATATAATACAATTTATAATATTTGAATTTTATATGCAGTGTCTAGTTACACACTATACAAAATTACTATATTAGATTTAAAATATATATAGCCTATATATATGAAATTCATATATGAAATGTCGGCTATACATTGTCATTATGTATATGCATATGCATTATTTATACATTTGTGACATATATATATATATATATATATAGGCTTTATGTTCTATCTATAAATGTTTTTTAGATTTTAATGCATATGCAATGTTTATATTTATTGTATATATTTATCAAATAATAATCTAATATAATAATTTTTATTTCATGCATAACATACAATACATAAATATTTCTATAACTAGGTAATAATGTAAGTGTTCAATAGCCTTTAGGCACAACTCGAAGGTTTGTTTCTCTACAGAAACTGGTATTATTGCCTCACATTGTAAATTTGTGACATACAGGTTATTATGCGGGGAGTATTTTTCTCTTGAGCTCATTTTGCACATTATTCTTTTGAGTGGTAGCAGATTAACAATTATTGGTGCTCATATGAAGCCCTGCATTCAGTTGCACTCCGGCTTTGTGAGCTTTTTCTTCTCTAGATTGGTGGAGTGTTTGAAACCAGCGTTTTCTCACTTTCCTCCAGCGGGAGAACATCTTTATTCCATTCTCATCCTGCAGGTTCCCTTTCAGTCGATGCAAATCAATCTGTCATGCTGCTCGGAGGAGGATTTGACGTACACTGGAGATCATCAGAGGAACAGAGATCATTCATTCAACATTCATCAGGGTTTGAGCAGCAGTGAGAAAACACACTCAACAGAAGAGCAACAAGCCATTAAGAAACATGACATAACTCAGATATGAATGTACATTCATGCCATTTTAATCTATTTAAATAAACTAAAGATCTAATAAGAATCACATAAGTGTGTATAAAGTGTCACAAACAAATGTGAAATTCAAATATTTAATAAATCCCTGAATAAATCAACTGGTAATGCTCACAGGCTCCTGAATCTGATCGTCTTTGCAATAAAAATATTCCACCATCAGCAGGTAAAATCAGTCTTAAATCACATTCATCCTCCCAGATTTGTAAACTATTACTTCTCATACATTGAAACGTTTAGTTATCAGACACATTATTACCACCTAACTACAATTACATGCACCACTAACAGCCACAGAGGAAATTCACTGACAAAACAAACATGCAACACAATGGAGACAAACCACACTCTCTCTCTCTCTCTCTCTCTCTCACGCATGCACACACACACACACACACACAAACTCTCTCTCACATTTAGACTAATGAATCCTCCCACAAACCACTCACTAAACACACACACACACACAACTGCGCTTCAATTAAAGTAGACACCAAACCAGATGCATTACACTACACTCTTAAGAATACAGGTTCTTTAGATTACTGAAGGAATAGTTCACCCAAAAATGAGAATGTGCTGAAATTTGCTCACCGTCACGCCATCCGAGATGCAGATGAGTTTGTTTCGTCATCAGATTTTCATCAGATTGTTTGAGTTTTTGTCTTCTCCAGATGTTAACTGATGGACTGGAGTGCTGTGGATTATTGTGATGTTTTTATCAGCTGTTTGGACTCACATTCTGACGGCACCCATTCACTGCAGAGCATCCATTGCTGAGACACTGATGCAATGCTACATTTCTACAAACCTGATGAAGAAACAAACTCATCTACATCTCGGATGACCTAAGCACTTTTATTTTTGGTGAACTATTCTTTCAAATGAACCTGGACTACATAGAAATAGTCAATATGAACACTCGATTGTTTTTCACCACACGTGACTTGCTTCGCGCCATCATAGGTTACACAGACAACATCTCAGAAACCAAACAAGCATTGCAGATCCCTGTGAAAAGGACAAAGACGAGCAAAGAAGAGGCACAGAGAAGTGGTAGTCTTTCGATCATTTTAATACATGGTTACCTGTACACATGAGGAAGAAAAGAAACACTAAAATTAAACATTTTGAAATTATAATATCCCTTTTCATTAAGCAATGAAGTTAATACTAGATCAATTTGCAACTAATCAATCATACATATATTAGATCACACAGAGTAGAAAGCAAAATCTGAATTAAAAAGTGACGGGATCGGGACTGTACAGGAGCGCACAGCGTGTTGTGGTGAAGTCGAGGGACCGGCGAGAACAAATAAGACAAGAACTTTGATCTTCCAATACTCGGAATATAAAAAACTACAAGTAATTAATACACAGGTAGGCTCTCCGAGGCTTAGCAGTCTTGAACGCTTTAAAGTCGAAGTTTACAGAACTACACACACATAAAACGTCTCATCCGTCAGCAAGATGCAACATCAAATTTCAAATCACACATTCACAATCTTTGACAAATTTCAGTATGAAAACAGAACAGAAAAACAGGGAGTTTTCCTGTAAAAACGCAGGACAAAAAAAGTCTTTGATTTAATTATATATATATATTTTTAAATAAAGTATTTAGTCAAGTATCTGAGCATACATACATAGTTTTACAAGAGAGCAAAGGCAAAAAAACCACCTCACGATACGCAAGACCACACTTTGCCGCCAAATCACCGTAATAAAAAATTATCTGTTACATTTGCATACGACTACAAAAAACCTCTACGAACTACAAGTTAAACGTCTGTCAAAATATTAGAGAAATCCATCTGTTTCAAAAAAAAAAAAAAATGAAATAAGATATTGCACCTTTTTTAACCAGAGTACAATAAAATGACAATGAAAACAGAATACAAGTACATGAGGAATTACATCATCGTTGCGTTTCTCGTGTAACAAAAGCATATATTTCTGTAACAAAAACATCACAGTTTTTCATCGCACTGAATTAAAATGCTTTATGTAGAAGAAAAAAAAAGAAAACATTTTGTACACATTCTTAAAACATTTCACGACAAAACGAAACGATAACGAATTCAAGACTGCTAAGCCCGCGGTCAATTTTATTGCAACAGAACTAGAAAAATAAGAGATTATATCGCGCGATCGATGAAACGCCGCGACTCCGGGGTTCGTTTTGGCGATACACATCTATATATATATATCGTAGAATTAAAAAGGAAGAATAGAAAACAAACCCAACTCTGAAATGGTCCAAAAGGGATCCCGGAAATCGCCCATTCGAATAATGGTGCACACAAGTATTTAGTAACAATTTGATGTCCTGATTTAGAAATAGTTCTCTTTTTAAATCATATAAGTCATTCTACAGCTAGTGTTTCTCACTAAGAAAAAAAAAGTAAAAGTCTTCAAGGCGTTGCAAATCTAGAAACCTCTGTTACAAAAGGTCTGTTTCCTCCTCGCAGTGATTCAAAAATCTTCAACTAAAGGGTCTGCAGTCGCCCGCTTTAATGATCCTGCGGCACGAGAGGAGAAAAATCACAGCGTTAGAGTCCACAAACTAAAAATTAAAATTATTAGTTTTCATGGTTATCAAAGAAGTCTCTTCTACGGAGCTCCTTAAAGGGACATGGTGATGGTAAATAAAAACTTTCTCAGTGCTTTTGCAGGTGAATGCAAGGTTTCCCAGGAATGCTTTTGCAAGAGAACCAAAGCTGCATTTTTGATCAAAATACAGTAAAAATTGTGAAATATTATTAGAATGTAAAACAGCTGTTTTCTATGTGAATATCTGTTAAACTGTAATTTATTTCCGTGATGCGCAGCTGTATTTTCAGCATCATTACTCCAGTCTTCAGTGTCACATGATCTTCAGAAATCATTCTAATATGCTGATTTGCTGCTCAAGAAACATTTCTGATTATTATCAATGTTGAAAACAGTCGTGCTGCACAATATTTTTGTGGAAACTGTGATGCATTTTATTTTTCAGGATTCACAGATGAACAGAAAGTTCAAAAGAACAGCATTTATTTAAAATAGAAATCTTTTGCAAAATTGTAAATGTCTTTACTGTCACTTTTGATCAATTCAAAGCGTCCTTTAAAAAAAAGAAGAAATTAATTAATTTTCAAAATTAATGTTTCTTGAGCAGCAAATCAGCATATTAGAATGATTTCTGAAGATCATGTGACACTGAAGACTGGAGTAATGATGCTGAAAATACAGCTGCGCATCACAGAAATACATTACAGTTTAACAGATATTCACATAGAAAACAGCTGTTTGAAATCTTAAAAATATTTCATAATTTTACTGTATTTTTGATCAAATAAATGCAGCCTTGGTGAGCAGAAGAGACTTTTATCCAAAAACATCTTAATTCTTGCACACTTTTGAGCGGTATTGTATGTTGATATCATTATATGATATATATCTATAAAGGTGATGGTGTTGGTGGAGTGTGTTTATTACCGGGAGGCCAGGAGCCTGCGTCTGTCCCTGGCCATAATACGCCCCCTGCTGTCTGTAATACTCCACCCAGGCGGCGCTATAGTCTGGAGGAGAGCTCTGCTGAGATCCAGGACCAGCGGCCTGAGCTGAACAAACAGACACAGACACACAGACGCAGACACACACACACACAGAGGCAGACACACACACACACACACACAGACACACAGAGACACACACAGGCAGACACACACACACAGAAGGATGAGAACACTGAAGTCCAGCTGGGTTTGACTTACATCAGGAGGACAGACGTTCTCTTACTCTGTTTCTTGTAATACTCCTCCCATGCTTTGCTGTAGTCGGAGCCGCTGCTCTGGCCTTGGTTCTGTTGACCTGCACAGACAAAACACGCGAACTCAGTCTCAGTTTGATCCAGGAACATCAGTTACAACTAGAGCTGCTTGATTAATCAGAATAAAACCGAAATCATAAGGCTGCAATTCATTTAAACACACACACGCACAGTGAGTGAACCGTGGCACTGTGTTCATTTACACACCAGCATCTCATGATCGTCTCGGTTCACAGCAAATGATTCACATGAACTCCATCTGCATAATGCTCCGAGTAACTTTAATGTGCATTTGGGAACAAAACACACATCTTCACCATCTTCACAAATTTATAACAAGAAGCGCTTGTCAAAGAAAGAGAAGCTTTAAGTGCTCCTGCGTCAGAATAAAAGTTTGACCGTTTTCAACGTTTGAAAATCAAGAAATTTGAGCAGCCATAAATATTAGTGTTGTGTATTACAGTTAAAAACTATAATAAAATTATGCATTATTAATATTTTTCTAATACAATTTTTTTTTTCATTTTAAAGTGAAATATTACATTAGCAATGTTTCTTATTTGTTTTTTAGTATTTTTTTTTATTTATAATAATAATAATAATAACTTTCATTATTATTATTATAGCCATACTGATATACAATATCGAAATTTTGGCCTAACCCTATAAGCAAGCACAAAACAACATTTATTTTTTTTAAACAGCATTTTAAATCCCAATAGCAATTTTTTAATAAACAAAATTCTACAAACTAACAACACAGCCCTAAGTTACAACTTCTTGGGATACGGAGTAAAAACTAAACCAATGATAAATAAACCTGCAAAAGCAATGAATATTAAGTTAAGCGTTAAAGGTAATGTTCATAAAGTAACAGAGAAAAGGTAACTTTCTTCCAGGATATTGTTTTCTATGAATTTTGTTCTTGCAGTGCAGATCTTTTTTGTCGTTTTAGGAAAATTGCGCAAAGACTTTTACGGTTATAACGCTGTGAATGTCAACAACGGATCACGTCCTGTTGGGCTTTTTGTGTTCGTCGGAGGCTTTTATCAGGACGAGTAACGAAAAACAACAGTATTCCAGTCCATCCAAAAAAAAAAAAAGTGGCAGAAAATAATACAGCAGACCGGGAAAATTGTTAGTCGGGCTAATAAAGCGCTCTCAGCCGCGTCTCTTAAGAGTCCCGGCGTCTCACCCAAACCTTCAGGATGAAACGCAGCTAAGTGTCTGAGACACTTGCCTAGCTTTTTATAATACTGCTCCCACGCTTTGGAATAGTCCATCTGGCCGGTCTGAGATCCATTGTGACCTGAAATTAGCAAAACGAAGTGAATCTAAAGGAAAGCGCTGTTCCTCAGAAGAAACAGCGAAGCTTAAAGTGAGTCTTACTGGGGTCCTGCTGGCTCTGAGGCTGCCATGTCTGGTACGTGGTTCCCCAACCTCCAGTCATGAACGTCTGCGGACCACTAGCACACAAAACAACACAAACACAGCATCAGCATTACAAGCACTACACAGCAACCCACAGATAATCGACCTGGTCTGAAACACACTAAAACCATTCACCTGCACGCGTCTGATGAAGAATTACACATGCTCTGGAGGTTCAGTACATCAAATCTTTGGCACTATCAAGTGGTTTTTAATTAATTAATTATGTGATGTGAAGATTAATTAACTGCACATCAAATTAAGCTGAGAAATTACCCTCCAAAAGAGCATTTAAAGTCATTATTGTGTTAAATAACAAAAGACAATCTTGATTCAACTTTGTATGCATAATGATAATAAACGGGTAGTTTTGTTTTTTTTACTCAATATTGAAATATGAAAACTTAAAAAAAAAACAACGAAATGATGCTCTAAATATGAAACTAAAAGCACTGTCTTAATGAGTGATTCATTGACTCACTTGATTTCTTCAAATGGCCGATTCATTCAAAAACAAAGCAAGTGACTCTTTACGAATGAGTCATTGATTCACTCGATTTGTTCAGATATGTTGATTCAATCAGTAACGAATCACTGCTGCGTGTTGATCAGAGAGGCTTAACGACATTAAGCAAAAGCAGACAATATTGCGTATAAAATGCAACACGATATTAATTTCTTGTTAATTGAGCTGCTGTATAAAACTCATTTTCAGTGGTGCAGATATTGGTGCAAAACGGCACTCTTGCTGGTGTGATATTGCTAAACTATAAATATGAGAGGGTGATTTTTTGCCTCATATCTTGAATTTTAGGCTCATATAACTGCATTCTACTCTGAGTACCGAGTACTGCATGTACTCAGAACAAGCAAACAAAACATCATCCCGGAGGGAAACTCTATATTCTGACTAAAAATAACCTGAAACTTAGGTCAGAATAAAGTCACTGGCAGAGAGGAAATAAAGGAAGGAACTCACTTCTGATGAGGAGTCGCTGGTCCTTGGGTGAAAGGACTGAGTCCAAAACTGCTGCTTCCTCCCATTCCAGACGCCTTCATGAAGAAGAACCAGAATCAGTCATTAACAGTCCGTTAGTAATGACTGAGGACAGTCTACAGAAACTCGACTTGGACATATGCTTCAAGTTTAGGGTCAAATGGTTATTTTTTGAAAGAAATTAATGCTTTTATCCACCGAGGATGCATTAAATTGATCAAAAGTAACAGTAAATGTTTTGTAATGTTACAATGTTTCAAATATACGCTGTTCTTTTGAACTTTCTGTTCATCTGTGAATCCTGAAAATTCAAATGTATCAGTTTCCACAACATTGATAATAATCAGAAATGTTTCTCGAGCAGCAAATCAGCATATTAGAATGATTTCTGAAGATCATGTGACACTGAAGACTGCAGTAATGATGCTGAAAATACAGCTGCGCATCACAGATATAAATTACAGTTTAACACATATTCACATAGAAAACAGCTGTTTTAAATTTTAAAAATATTTTACAATTTTATTGTATTTTTGATCAAATAAATGCAGTCTTGGTGAGCCTTTTTGAAACTTTTTTTTCCCCGCCAAACTTTTGAATGCTTCTGCACACAATGCAAACAGAAAGCGCTGAGAAACGGATCACTCACCCCGATCTTCTCGTCGATCAGCTGTCTGGCCATCTCCATCTGCTGAGGAGATCCACGGATGGAGAAGATCCGGACGTTTGGGTCGGTGTTCGGAGGAGGATTTCTCTGCAGCTCCACATGAGCTCCAGACTGCTGGTTGATGCTCTTTATGGTCTCTCCACCTGAGCAGAACACAAACACATGAACACCATCCGGTAACAAGCTCTGTTCCTCACACAGATCTATCACATGTGGTTTCAAACCACTGGGAGTTTTAACTAGACTTCATGTTAAAAACACCAGGGACAATCAAACATAAAAACACAGGTGCAAAACACCTCGACATCAGCTAAACAAAAAAATAACAGAAATTAAATAAATTAAAAAAGATAACCAGATGGAATGTAAAACATACAGGTGCAAAACACCTTAACTCCAGTTAAATAAAAAGAAATAATCATAAAAAAACAATTAGAAACATGAAGGACAATCAAACTTAAAAAATACAGGCGCAAAACAATTGCTTGTTAAACAACCATATAATCAACATTTGGTTTAAAAAGTATGTGGACACAAGGGAAAAATGAGTAAATAATTAAAACACATAAAAATAAAATTAAAGTTAAAAAGAAATAAAATAACCAGTTATAAACATCATCAATAAGCAAATAAAAAAAATTTAAAACACAAGTGTATAACGCCTGCTAAAACGGTTTAAAAAGGACAGTTAAAAATAAATAAATAAATAAAAACCAAAATGTAAAAATTAAATAACATGAAATGAACCAATCATAAACATCAGGGACAAACGCTTAAAAAAATAAAAATAAAAAAACTTGCTCACTTAGCCATCTACTCTACAATGGTTTAAAAAATGTATGGACAAAAAAATTGTTAAAAATAAAAAATAAAAAGAAATACATAACACAGAGGACAAAAATAAAATAAAAGGTTAAAAAATTTTAAATAAATAAAAAAACCAAAATAAAAATCCAATAAAATTAAAAAAACATTTTTATAATAAAATGACCAGATAGAAAATTCAGGGACAAACAAATAAACAATTACATTAATAAATTAATAAATACGTAAGACCTGCTCACTAAACAGCCATACAGTTTACAATGGTTTAAAAAAAAAAAGTATATGGACACAAGGGATTGTTAAAAAAATTACAATTAAAACAAAAATAATTTAAATAATTAAATGTGTGTCATGACTTCCAAACTTAATGGTTAAATCACCAGCTCGGGGGGGAATCGAGGTGTGCAAACACAAGAGCCTGGTAAAGAGAGTCACAGTGCTGTCTGAACATTTGTTCACTCATCCAAGCGCCTTATTGTCACACAAATTTAACCGCTGCATTAATGAAGCCATTATGAGCTCCGGCGTCATAAAGAGCCGAGTTCACGGACGGACCGGTTTAGTTAAAGGATGCTGCCTTATTGTCACACAAATTTAACCGCTGCATTAATGAAGCCATTATGAGCTCCGGCATCATAAAGAGCCGAGTTCACGGACGGACCGGTTTAGTTAAAAGATGCTGGTTAAAGCCGTGAGACGCTGCTAACTGGTGGTCTTTAACTCGCACTGAAAAGAGCGTCTAACAATGAGATGTGAGGTCAGAGCAAACGGCCTGTCGAGTCTGAGAACGCACATCTGCTCAATCCCACCGAATAATTCATGCAAAACGAATCTGAGGTGATCTGATGTGCACAGATGAATCAACATTACACTAACAAGCTATTAGTGAAGTATAACTTACATTAGTTGTATTCATAACTCAGTGTCTAAATATAAAATGCCCAATGCCAAGAAAAAAGAATCATAATTAGCTTTTTGAAAATATTTTAAATCAGTTTTTTTATATATATTTTCATTTAAGGTTTTGTTGTGTGTGTGAGATTTTTTTTATTAATAAAGTCTTTTTTATTAATTAGTTATTTAGTACTTCAACTGAAATGAAAGTTTTATATTTTAATTGATTTTATTGTTTATGTTAATTGGTCATTTTGTGTTTTTGTCGTTTTTACTATTTTTTTTTAAATAATGTTTTAGTTTATTTCATTTTAGTACTTGAATGAAAACAAGAAATGTTGCCTTTACAACTAACAGAAATACAATTTTAATTTAAACATCTGGTTTGACTTCAATGCTTTCCTTTTAATTTAATTACCACCCCCCCCCCCCCCCCACAA